ACCAACCAATCACCTCCCTCACACAGCCCCTTGCTCTTCTCCAACTTACCAAACATTTAAAGAAACACACACTTAAAACTTAATATCATTACTGGGGGAGGGCTGTTTTATCCCCCAAAAGGCTATGTTGGGGATCATGATACTCCTACGGGCCAAAGACCAAACAAGACGGTAATGAGAGGAATCAGCAGACTGCCCTGATTTCCTTTGGCAGCAGCCGAAAAGTTGGCAGGATCCATACTGGGTACATGCAGACAGGGGACATTTCCTGCAGGAGCGCACAGGAGCGGAGCTCTGGCAGTAAAGAGCCCAGGGGGCGGGCACATGAAACAAGCCCCACCCCCTACTCCCAGCAGCCCTCAGTCAGAGCAAGAAGCAGCCAGGATAGTTACAGAGCTCCCCCCCGGCCCAAACCAGTCCAGTGGCACCTTTAAGACCAAGTTTTATTCAGGTACAAGCTCTCCCTCCTCTGCCAGGACAGATGTGCACGTCCCCCCCCCCGCAATAGCTAGCAATCCAAAACAGTCCAGTGGAGCCTGAGCGGTGGGTGTTTCCTTCTGACACACTTCTGGTGATGTCAGGGGGTGTGGCCTATGCAAATAAGTTATGCTAATGAGTTATGCTAATGAGCTCCTGCACCTCCTTTCCTACGAAATGGCCCCTGCACGCAGACAACAAGTTATTAAAGTGGTATTGTTCCACAGGCCCTCACCTGGATGGCCCAGGCTAGACTGACCTTGTTAGATTGTGGAAACTAAAGAGGGTCGGGGCCCTGGTTTGTATTTCAACGGGAAACCCCCAAAGAATCCCAGAGCCATTATGCAGAGGCAGGCAATGGCAAACCGCCTCTGTTCGTCTCTTGCCTCAAAAACCCTCCAAGGTTGCCATAGGCCAGCTGACACGGCACTCTCCATCGTTCCACGGTGTGCATGCAACCAGTCAACAAGCCTGCCGGTTGCTGGAAAAGAATCCAATCTCACCCCCTTGCTTTCCCAGATTTCTAATCAAGTGCACAAGTGTGGTGAAGATTTCCCCTCCCTCCGTCAACATGGCCGAACCGTCAAATTGCTGAGTGCTTATTATCCAAACTACAATAAACGCTACACCCCCTCCCCCAAGGAAGCAGTCACCCGAATGGACCCAGCGTGCTGCAAAACGGTGGATTCTGATGCAAACCCCAAGCACAAAGGTTGCCGGCGTGGGTACCGCCTATCCGTGTGGCCACTCCACCCGTATATGCAGCACACATGCATCCTCCGCTGCCAAGTGGTTTTGCCTGCGAGACTCCGTTGCTAAGTGGTTTTGCCTGCGAGACTGGTGGGAAGCAGCTCTGAGCTCCGGAAGAGGCAGGCAGGACGGTCCAAGAGACCCCCAAACCCCTGCTCTGTGGATGACCAACCTGTGGACAACCCCCCCCCCCAACCGTGCATGCACACCACACCCC